GACAAGGGCAGCCCTAAACCCCCCCAAAAAAAAAAAAAAAAAAATCAAGAGATGATCTTTGCAGCAGAACTAGCTTAAGGCACTACACTCCCATCCTCAAACAGCTCAAGTTGGATTAATGATGCCCATCCAGGCTCTCCCAGAGCAGCCTTAAGTAAATTGCCCGATCTCTATGGAACAGCCCTCATTGGGTTGAAGATGAGCTGCTGTCTAGTCACCAGAGATGCCCATTGTTGCCTATCTTGGAGATCTAGCAGTGTCCAACTTGCTTCTCCATCTCCTTATCCTCACATCTTTATGAGCAGCCCAAGGGTGCAACCCATCTTGTCTCCCATTGCTAGTGCAGTGCCTCTTCTATGTGACGGTTTCACTGACCAATGACTTCAGCACCTGGTCTGGCAAGTGGTGGCCTCCCTCCTATCTAGTAAGCTCGCAGTGTTTTCCTCAAAGCACTTATGGGCCTTCGCCCATGTGTCTGCTTCAGGAGCTGGCACTATTTACTAGTGATTGTACATAGTAATTATCTTGTTAAAAAATAACTCCTGGCCTCTCTTTCTACATAAGTACCCTATCCTCACTGCCCCTCAGTCATTACCTGGTGGCAGGCTAACCAGCTGGGACAGCACGAGAGGGTAGACACTACTCAAGGGCAGAAGCACTTTGTCTAGAGAGTTGGAACCAAACTTATGCCCTCTAATCAGGTATTCAGGTATCTCTGTAGCCAGATTAAGCTGTGACACCCTTCTGCCCCTGCTGATAAGGCTATCACCTACAGCTGCCAGGACAGTGGGCAGGAGAAAGGAATGAAAAAGGAGCAAAGATGGAAAAGACAATGGGCTAGATTCACTTGGGACCCATCACTGAAACCTGAGTTGTGGGGGGCCCCAGAGGTGGAGTTACTGGACCAGCCCCAAATAGGGGTAGGGCAGAGTCTGGCAGCTGGAGAGAACATGTGCTGCCCTTACAGCCTAGGCAAACCTTGGTGGCAGCATCTCTCCCAGAGGTTGGGTTTACAGCCCAGGGCTGCAGGAATCTTCCCCTCAAAAGTCTACTCAGGCCTTGGCATTTTTTTTTTAATGGAAAACTTTTCATGTCCCAGGTCAAATTAGCCAGATCAGCTGTTTGAATCATCCAAGAACCATCAGCCCAGCCTGTGGCTTCAGATACTTCCAAATCCTTTGGCATGCATCCTGCGTGCAGGCCCAAGCCTGGAGATTTGGGGTTCAGATGCCCCCGAGTTTCGCTTGCCTTCAGGCATATGGCCACAGGAGCAAACTATGGAGGGGTCTCCCACTTGCATAAAGTCGGTGTGTAGCCGAGATCCTCCTGCTGGAAACTGCTCAGTGGAAAGCTAACTATGAGGCTCTCGTAGGGAGTCCTGTCCGCAAGCAGACAAGGGCGCACCCTCCACTACACAAAGCCATTTGTAAGGCACCTATTTGGTCAGGGTACTGCCCCCTGCCACCATTGTGGTCACGGCATTTCCCCTGGCAGGTAAGTATGTCCTTCCGCCACCACAGGCTGTGCCTTTCAATGTCCTTGTTGGTAGTGGGTGCTGCCTGGCTGCCCTGGGATTTGTTGGTGATGGTGAATGCACTGTAGTGGCTCAGAGAATTGCTTCTCCTTGGTCCAGATTAGCTGGTGCTGCTCAGGATGGGGGAAGGAAATGTGCTCTGTCCCTGCAACTCCTGAGTGTGAGAAGGAAGCAGAAAGCCAGTGACCCCCACAGACTCCAACATCCATTGTTGGGTGGGGCAAAAAGGGCTCCTCGATTCTCTGCAATCCACATCTCCACCCCAGGACAGACAGGGTTGGGAGAGAGCAGCTCTTTCCTCTGGTGCTGTGATAGATGGTCCTCAACAAGCCTTCACCCTGACCTCAAAGTGACCACTCCAACAAGAAAGATCAGTTCTCTGCTGAGCAGGGGCTGGAGGAGGTGCAGGCTTGGCTTGGTTGTTCTGCTTCACACTATGATGCACGGTGATTGGCATGATGTTGATGGGAGCATGACGGACACGGCTGTCCCCTGGAAGTCATGTGATGGCTGTATATTGTTCTAGAGTTGGTCCGATAGTTTAAGTTTCCTTGGAAAATAATGGCTCATTGAACCTGAAAACACCCCAGCTTGGACAGAAGCTTGCCTGTGCCTGTATTCCCTTTTGTACCTACCCTAGGGCTGGGGACTTGGAAAGCTGCAGGGACGCTTAATAAAAATATCTATTAAGGAATGTATTTATCTGCTGCTTTGACATAAGGCTGCTGTTGGAGTGATGACACTGATCCCATTGCTGCGACTGACACTTCTGTCAGCCTGACCTAGTACAAAGGTCGGACACAAAGTACAGCTTCTTTCCAGCACTCCTGCATGTGAGAGCATTGTTACATATTAGAGAGGGCGGGGAAGTCCTGAATGCCTCCTAGACCACTGCTCTTCACTTTGGGACAGCTCTTTATAAGATGTTAATAACTTATCCCTGTTATTCCATGGGTTGAGTCATGCTTCGTGTCACTACAACCACCCAAAAAGCTCTTGAGCTGTTCTTCATTTTTCTTTTTCCTCGATTTCCTCTCTCCTCCCACATTCCCATCCTTCCTCTTGTGCCAAACTCAACCTCAGATTCCCAGGAGTGCATAAACCCCAGTATGGGAAACACTGTCCTCAACATCAGCCAGAGACAAGGCCTTATGCTAGGGTAAAAATCCTTAATAAAACTTTAAAATGCCACTTGTCTATAGTTCTTCAAAGACCTATAGTTTCAAATCTCTCCCTGCAGTTTGGAAAGCAGCATTTTGAAAGGATGAATAAAGAATCTGCCTCCTTCTGAGCCAAAGAGAGCCATTCTCCTATGGAAATCTTTCACCACAAACCATGTCAGACTCACTAACTGGCTAGGAAGTGATCTCCCTAAGGATCTTTAACTTCATACCTTCACAGTTTCATGCTTTATTCATTATTCCTTAAGTTATGCCATGAAGAAACAACTGAATACAATGCCCAGAGACCAAAGGATCCCTTTGCCAAAGGGAGACAATCTGGTTTTCCTGGGAAATGGGACTCGGCATACAGTATCCACAAAGTTCAGGTTGTTCAGCTCTGGGGTCAGGTGTGGAGGTCTCTCTACTACCAGCAAACCAGGGTAGAAAGAAGAATGGAAAGTGATTCAAATCCATTTCAGTATGGGAAGAGTTAATGCTCCCCATCCCTTGCCCCACAGATTTATTATAAAAGGAAGAACAAGAAAAACATGAAACTGGAGAATTATAGCAAGGGAAAGGAGGTCATTTCTTCTTCAGTGCCAACTGCTAAGATCAAAACCACCACCTTCCCCTTTGTTTTCCACCTTCTTGCAATGCTAGCAGTCGGCTGAATTTCCTCTAGCCCAATGGTTGTCAACCTTTTTTCATTCACAGACCCCTAAAAAATTTTGAACGGAGGTGCGGACCTTTTTGGAAATGTCAAATGGAGGTGTAGACCCCTTTGAATTGTAAGTGTGGGTATTCACATACTTTTGATCGATCGTAGTCATCTTTTCCAGACCCCTTAGACATAGTCTGCAGACTTCCAGGGGTCCACAAACCACAGGTTGAAAACCACTGCTCTAGTCAAATGCCCTCACGCCACCACCTCCAGACTCTTCTTGTCTGAGTAGGGTGGGAGGCAGGGCAGATTAGAGACCAACTGGATGTCTAGACTAGTTGTCATAGTAGATGAAGAGTAACTAACTCCCCATGAGCCTGTCACGCACATTGTTGTAAAAGCTCTCCCTGACCATCCAACCTGCTTGACATTTCCCATCCAGCTCCTGTCCCAGTTATGGGAGGTGTCCTCCCCCATTAGCCCCAGCCCTACCCCACTGCTCCTTCTGAGTTTCCAGGTCCCTCTAGTTCTGCATCTGGGGCCAGGGATGTAGTAGCCAGAACAAGAACGTAGGTGTCATATGATCTGGTTCCTATTTCGGGTTTTTCTCACTGGTTTTGTAACTTCCTGTCACTTAGCCTCCCTCCCTGGGCTTCCTTCTCTGTTAAATGAAGAAGATAATAACTACTTCACTGGAAGCTCACAGGAAAAAAGTACTTTGGATGAGAGGCCCTATAGAAGAGCAAACTACTATAATGAGAAAATCGGTACAACTGTATCCTACTGTAATATTAAAAACTGCCCTGGGCCCTGTGCTGCAGGCAGGGTTTCTGCAGCTGCAAGGCCCTGTGATTTTGAAGTAACATGGGCTAAATTCTACCCTCCCAGTTGCTGGGGAGCTCTGAGCACCAGTGCTTTACCAGAGGCATAACTTTAAAAAGCAAATGTTTAATAGGCATGTGTAGTACACATCATCCCCCCAGCCCCATCTCCCCTTATTCAGTGAAATACCATCTTCTCTTACCTTCCCATCCCAGCAGGGCAGAGATCTCAGAGCGAAGGTGGCCACAGCTCGTCCGGTAGTTCATTTGCAGGCCTCCCTGCCTTGGTGCTGTCAGGGATGAAGTCTCTTACTCCTGCCAGATTCACCATCCTCCCCTCCTACAGAAGACACTGGAGGGGTGAGGGTCAGGTACACATGGTGAGGTCACTGGTTAAGCCCACGTATACGAGATCAGGAAGGTATCTGTTTCCTCTCCACCCCTGCTCCTTATCCTTAGGCTCCTTATCCCCCATTTTCCTCCTGCAATTCAGGAATGTGCAGACCAGGGTGCTCTTGGGTGCTCTGGCAGCTTTGCCACTGACTCACGCTAGGAACAGACATTGCATTTGTCCCTGGACAAGGTATGCCTGTGTTTGTCCTGGAACAGAAATATCCTGGAATTGGTGTGTACACACATTGCCCTTTAATCAGGGTTTTGTAAGCAGCTGAATGCACCGTTGCTTTTCCGTCATTGATTCAATGATGCAATCCCAGGATACCTGTTCAGATGCCAGGTGCTCTTTGCAATAGCCCAGGATAAACTGTTAGTACTTTTTAGCCCATGAATCTTTTTAGGATTTATCCCAGGACTCTAGTCAGAGATGTCTGAATGACTGCATTTTGTCCCAGGGTAAAATGGTTTCATCTCAGGACAAACGGGACATCCGTGTTTAACTCAGTGTGTGTCGTCAGGAGAGTTGCTTTATTTTTTGGTAAAATGGGGATAACAGTATTTTCCTGTCCTGCCTGAGTATTGCTGGGTTTCACAATCAGTGTTATATGATCCCTCTACAAAAGATGCTAGAACAATGCACGAGCTTTCTGTGTTATCAGGCAGGTCGTTCCTGACATGGCTGCAAAGGAAACTGGTGAATACACCGACCGACACAGAACAGGCCATTGGCATTCCCGGCCAGGCTTGCTCACTCCCTCTACTGGAGGCACGTGGGCCTCCACAGCAGTGGCTTGATGTCCTCTTGCATTCATATACAGTCGTGGGCAGATCTAGGATTTTGAAAAGGGGGGTGCAGATCGTGCGGTGCATCCCCATATAAAGCAAAACATATTTTTCTTCAGTTAAAAAGAAAGGAGAACCTTCCCTAATAAGTAGGGGCCTAAAACTATATTACTCAATTTAAGATTGAAGTGAAAAAAACCCTTTATTGGAAAGTGCATTCATTTGCTATATCAAACATTATATATAAAACACAAAAAACTAGGCAAAATAATCCAAAGATGTTTCATTAGTCCTGAAGTCATTATAGCTAAATGTATGTCTCTTTTTCAGATTCATAAAACAAAAGCCTTCTTAAACATCTGGACAGTGCCTCCAATGCTTCATTGAAAGCGATTCCTGCACCAAAGCTAATGTTTACTTGAGTTCATACTTCAATACCTGAGTTAAGGTTTTTAGCTAAAGTTAAAAACAGTTTGCAGGGCTGTGAAACGGGAGCTACATTACAGTACTAGGAGCAGTTAAGAGACAGCAGCATTGCAGAAGTAAGGCTAGCTGGAGTAATGGGACCACAAAAGATGGTTTCAAAGGATAGAGGGTCATTAACACAGGTGGAATGACGAGTTTAGATGCAATGATGCAAATTATAATCAGCCATTAAGTCAACTGACTCCCTCACCGCGGCCTGAATAGAAGTGCTGCTGCCACTGCTAGGCAGATGGCTTTAAACCTTGAATGGACCAGAAATTGAAGAAGAGTGCAAGTGCAGCCATGCATCCCATCTGGATCTGCCGCTGTATAGACTGATATTAGGATATATAGGCTGCTAAACAGAACAAGGCCAGTTTTCATTTTGGAAGCGTGCCTGCTTATTTTAGCAGATGCAATGAGAAATGGGGAGGAAGAAATGGGTAGACCAGCTAGGAGAGACCTCAGGACTCCTGGGTTGTATTCTGAGCTCTGGGAGGGCAGCGTTGTCCTCAGGCCAAAGCCACACATGGACTCGAGAAGCTCCTGCTTTCTCACTGCAACTTTAGAGTCTCCAGCAAATATAGTGTAGCAGGGACTGCCACAAAGTGGTCCGGCCACTGTACAAATCCTTGGTTAATATCCTAACGAGTTAACAGTCTGCCCCAATCAGTTGTCTCAGCTGTATGAGGCTCTGGACTTTATTGCAACATCTCCAACACTCTGCCCCCTGAAAAGGTTGCTTTTTGTGCACTCTACTAGTTACAGAATGACCCAACTAAATATGTTTTCTGAATAGTTTAGAAGGGCACCCAGGAGATGCTTAATCATATAATGCGTACATGAGTGGATGAAAGGTTGAGTCCTGCACCCCAATACAGGGGGAGGAAAGGGGACCCGGGGAACTACAGGCCAGTCAGCCTTACCTCGATCCTGGGCAAGCTGTTCGAGAAAATTATTCTGGCACACATCCAGGAGGGGCCAGCAGGGAGCGGCATGCTCA